AATTTGGAGAAAAGTGACACGTTTAAAAAGTTAAGAGTGGAGAATCGCGTTTCATCGGGGGAAAGTGGGAAAATCGATACTTACGGTAGATAGATGGAACGCGTGTTTGCGCATTATAAGCTATCCATTGCGACGATAGATAGAAGCGTGTTTGTACAAAAGCTCCCTACCCACTTTGCAAAGACTTCGAACGCACACGTTTACGCGCCAGGGATTCATTTCTAAAGTTACTTTACAAAGCGGATTACTCCATATTTCACGATTGAACAGAGACGCAGAATTAATGAAGAAACTCGTTTACAAACAATGGTACGAATATGCCACAGCTAGTATAGGCGCAATATACATTGTAAGAATGATGTTAATTATTTGTTAATCGACGTTAATACATTTGTCACGTGTTAAAATGCTTCAACAGTTGCTCAAATGGGAGAGTAAGTATAGTTACAGAGAGTTAAAAAAAAAAAAAATAGTAATAATAAAATAAAATATCGCACATTAAATAACGAAACAATTACCTCTGCTGAAGCAGGTACTGAGCCATTTGTATCTGACTGGGTAATCCGGTTATAGTGATAATGCGATCGTTACTGCCAGACAACGGTTCGTCTATAGTAATTCCAGCACCGCTATCTGATCTTACTTTTCGAATTCTGGCGCCTCCCTTGCCGATAATTGCCCCAGCAAGCTGTTGATCAGATTAAACGTTAAGAATTATCCATTATTCGCTAATTGATTCTGCTATTAGCTATCTATTATCCTTACTTTTCTTTTAGAGAAAGTGTTTTAAAGTCTATCGGAGAAAAATTTACTTACGTCTTTAGGAATGGTGACTTGAGTGGTGGTCTTTCCACCCATGTTGCCCTGATTCCCTTGATTATTGCCACCCATAGGTGGGCCGCTCATTCCCGAATTAGCACCACCACCCAAACCGTTTGGCGCGCCTCCTTGCATACCCCATCCATCACCTGTGCGCGAAACACACAACGATCGCTACGATGATAAATATTCTCCAAAACGAAGAACGCCGTTCAACGCATCGCCTATTCATTCTCTGATCTCTAAGAGGAAGATTCACGCGAGTGAATCGTATTAAATTTAACCGCAATTCATTTCAATTAACAACTCGAATAATTCTCAACCATTAAGACATCGGATATTTTAATCATAAAATTCGATTAACTCTCCATTACTATTTCGCTATTTCGATATTCAATATCCATTTTTCCCGTTTTTTTACATAAGTCATATTCAGTTATTCAAATTTATTCAAATCAATATTCATATTTCATATTGAAATCACCTGATTACAATTATTCTAAAATTAGAAGATCGCTAATATTTTTTATTTCTCTCGATAACTTCTAACAGATAAATCTCACACTCGGCACGTGGCAGAGGATTTGCTGAAATATTTCTCTTACCATTGTAGTTCCCAGCGGCATACGGCGGCGGACCACCCCTGTTGCCGCCGTATCCGCCTCGCCCGCCTTCGTATCCTCCACCGCCGCCTCCTCCGCGAGAATTGCCCCCGTAGCCGCGATCCGGTGGCCCGCCAGACATACCGCCGCCTCCGCCGCCTCCGCCGCGCGGCCCACCTCTCGGTGGTGGCGGGAACCCGCGATTCATGTCGCCTGGCCCAGCGCGATTGTCGCGTCGAGGCGGCATACCTCCGCCACCGCCGCCGCCTCCGCCGCCACCGCGCCCTCCAGGACCCCCAAAGCCACCCCCTTTCCCTTGGCCGCCGTCCCCGGTCCCATAGCCGCCGTAGTCGTCCGCGTAATAATCGTCGAAGTTGTGCGGATCGTAGGGGTTGTTCACGCCCTTCAGTGGCGACTGAAACGAATTAGAAAAGGAAATATTGGAAGGGGCTTCGTTCCTTTTTTCCAATCTCTTCTTTCCTCTGGCGATAAAAATACGAGATTATTTATTTAATTTCGTACTCACGGTTTTAATAGTGGCGATCAACTCGCGGATGCACTCGATGCACGTGGTCGGTTTGCCGCAGATGCTGATCAGCCGGTCAGTGCTATGAGGGCAGCAGTGAGAATAAATCTTGATCCTTGCCCCAGTTTTCTGCAATATCGAACGAATATACTTGAAGGGATCGGACAATTCGAACAACAATCTCGTCGAAAACGTATATTATATTCAAAGGGTGATATTTCGCGACACTTATAAAGAGCCATGAAGCGGAGAAAGTGAAAGCCTTAATCGCGGCCGATCATGGCTGTCGCGTTTCTCTGCTCGATAACTCGACGTTGCGCGATTCTCTAGGCGCCAATGGGCGGATCGCGTGCTTCGAGCTGGTTAACAGCCAACCCCGTTGCTTCTCGACACTCTGCTTTCAGAGACAGGGTCGGGGATTAAAAGCGGTAAACGTACCCCATTCGGTCACCTTTAATCTGTTTCCCTCTTTTTTCCCTCCGCCTCCAATGTTTTTTCTTTTCTTTTTTTTTAGAATCGCTTTTACGTAATTATCGTGCCAGGATCTCTGGTTTCTCCGTGGAGGAGGAGGGGGGGTGGGGGGATAATTAAAATTAGCAATCGGTTTCGATTTCTCGTCCCACGAATCGTGGAACGTTCAAAAACGATTTTCTCTTTCCTCGTTTTTTTACTTGTACTTCGTGCGAAGGAGAGAGATACATACATCAGAGTGGATATACATCGCTCGAAGCAAAACTTCCGAAACAAAAACGAAAGAGGTTCGATGGAATTAACGTGATTATTCAAGGGAGATAATGAAAGCAGGGCAGTGATTAGATATCGACTGTATATCGCCTTGCTGTTCGTACTCGTCTAATTTGACCATCTTCGAATTTCGTATTTTCCATTCAGTTTTACGATAAAAAAAAATTTAACATTTTTTACGGATATTGACGAATCAATATTTTTTTCCTATTCTACGCGTTGCATAATTATCGTTATTACCATTATGTTTTATGTAAATATATGTACATACGTAAGACACGCTTAACATATATAAATATTTAACTATACATTTTTATAGTTAAATATCGTATGTTTGCAATGTAAATATATCGTGCATTAAAAAAAAATCAAAAAGACAACAAATTGATATAATTATTGGCGAAGAAAATTCGATATGAACTACTTATTCCATAAATAGAAAAATTAGAAGAAACGGTATAAAAGAAAAGAAAAAGAAAAAAAAAAACAATATACTAAATAGATTCGAAATATACTAATTACAATCGATGAAATTTATTGTTGAACAAATTTATTGTTCTCTGTGAGAAAAAAATCAAGGGATGGGAATTCAATCTACAGATACATTCTCGGCAATGGATATTCGACATTGTGTGGAAATTGCACCGTTTAATTACGTAGATCAAAGCGAACGGCATCGTCCGCTTCCCTCGCCTCCATTCATCCGTTTCCAAATGCAGAGACATCCGGTCACGCAGAACTGACGAATCGCTTTTACACGAGAGGCAGAGAGGAGCCACTGATCACTCTCAAATTCTCCCAATTTCCACTTTGTTTCTTTCGAGATATTAGATGCCTTCGGCTACCAACCGATCGTTTCAACATTGATTCTTGCCCTCTGATTGCATTCCGTGAAATAAAATTGGAAAATAATATCGGGACATGAATAAATAATCGAATGAATAATTAAACAAAACTATAAAAAGGAATTTCATCTGTATAAATATTCATCGATATTTAAAATTTTATATATCGATTAATTTTAAATTTCAATGCATTAACAAAATCAATTGAATTTCAATTTTGATGTATCTAATGTTTGAGATATATATATATATATATATATTTTTTGTCCCTCGATATATATATATATGCGAATTTATAAATAAGAATCTTTCATATCTTCCAATTATTGTTTGATCAGTATTTCTTTTGCAAATTTAAACTTTAGAGTGATAACTATTAGCAAGATTGTAAACAGTTGTGTAACTATTTGCTAAGATAATGATGAAAAAAAAATCCTCAATCTACGGTTATCGTTTGCGCCACGATAGCAGTGGAGATGAAAAAAAATTACATTAATTAAAAAGATCGATAGAATAGTATGAAAAAATGTATAATATCTTAATAAACGGAACATTCTATCACGACGCATGAAAACCAGTCAAAAAGAGAAAGAAAGAGGGAAAGAAAGAAAAAATTCGGTATTGTGCTGTCCAAGCGATTCACGCTTTTGTTGCTGCTCGTTTTCCACGGTGCAAATTTATATATTTAATAATTCACGGTACCCCAGAGAAATAAACCAATATCCATTGGGCACCTCCTGTGTTAACGAAACGAACACGATCTCGATAGTCTCATTAAGAATTTATCGATCGACAACGCACTTCTATTCTGTGTAAATGACTACGCAAACAGTCCGTGTATTTTCATTGAATTCATTATGCGAGAATCCACGAACTTCGACACTGTGAGGAAAAAAGAAATGCTAACTCAGTTAGTTTTAAGCAACGATAATACTCGTTTAGAATATCTTATACGTTGACTGAAAAAATTTAAAATATCTTGTCTAATCAACTTTGTCGCTTCGTTGAAAACACAGGTAAGCTTCAATTTTTATTATTTACTTTGACGTATATTACGTGGATTTTTTCTTTTTTTTTTTATTAATATAAGAATTTTTTCGTTTCTATTTTCGTTTGTATTATATTCGTGGAATATAATTTTTCCATCGTTACAATATTTCGATCGATTAAACAGGGAATCGTGATGTGATTAAATCATAGAGAAATATTAAAATTCTTTTTCTATAAAAATAATAATAATAATAAAAGAAAATGTGATCTATCAAATTTGAAACAGTTCCAAAACTTTTTCACTAAGATTTATTTCTCGAGCAGGAAACGTTACCAATAATAAGTCGTGATTAACATGTGAAATAAAAAGAAATGACCGAGAAACCGCCTTTCTCGAGGCGAAAAAAAGGAACGTTGATGCCTTCCATTGACTTTGCTTGGAACGAACGTCCACGTCACAAAACGTGTTCGCTTTTCCATACGCCAGACGTGCTTCTTAGCTTTCTGTGAATGGAACTGTTTTCCGCTTTTAACTGTGCCAAAATTTAATTTTATCGAGAAAACAATAGATTCGACGACGTTCGTGAAATTTCGTCCCATTCGACTTGATCAATACGCGATATCCCATTTTTTTTAAACCTGTCTTGGAAACGCTAAAATTTTTATTCTTAGAGGAATGATTGCAGACAGGTAAGCTCGAAGATTCGATGGAATTTTTCATTTTAATTACGTAACATCGTGCGAATTATTCAAAATTTATATATTATTAGATATAATTATGGATGAGTTATGATATGTATCGAAACGTGGAATCTAATAATAATCGTGACATGTATAATTATAATGTAACAGCAAAGTCTTTTTTTTCTTTAAAATCTCAACAGTGTATACAACAATATTACATATTGTTACTGAAAAGAGAGAAAGATTTATAATTTGATTTTGCATTGGATCACGATACATAGAAAAATTTCTTTAATATTCTTCTCTTTCGATATTTCTTGACATTTTGCCACTCTTTCATTTTTTCCACTCCAACCAATATTCAAGATGTTAAATTTCTTTTTTTCTTATTATTTAGATTTCAAGAATTTTTTGCGATCAATAAAAACTGAAGAACAAGATGTCGAAAACTTTCACAGCGGAAGAAGTAGCGAAACACAATCACGCTAAAGATCTATGGATCGTGTATGAAAAAGGTGTGTACGATGTTACAAAGTTTCTAAGCGAACATCCAGGCGGGGAGGAAGTGTTGCTGAATCTAGCTGGACAAGACGCGACACAATGTTTCAACGACATTGGACACTCGGGCGAGGCTGTACAGCTTCGTGAAACCTACAAAATAGGAACGGTTGTCGGCTCTGTTCCTGCAACATCATTCGGTGGTACGTTGCCTATTTTTTTTTCCTTTTTTTTTTTTTCTACTTAGAAATACTGTCAGTTCATTATTTATATTTAAAGAATATCGAAATAGAGGAGAAATGTTTGCTCCATTTTTGATCTTTAAATTATACACAACCGAATTAATATCAAATTAGGAAATGAACGATCTTTGTTTCAAGAGTTAAAAGTGCAAGACACGACGATAGATGACGATAATTGGGAATACCAGCCGCCGAAATACGAATCGTCACCGTGGCTTAAGGTGATTATCGCAGTTGCTGTCGTCATTTACGCTTATATATTTTATTATTTTTGGTATTCATAAGGAGGATAAAATCAGAATGTTATAAATAAAAATACTTGTATTTTTTAAGAGAGTGGATTTTTCATTTCTTTGTTTAAACCTTCCTATTGCGACCAGACCCGTGCGATTTAATTAATATTGAAATCATATTTTTTTATCCGTCAAAATATTTTACAACAAATTCTCACGAAATGGATGAATTTTTATCAAAAGAAAGAATATTCTGCGATTTAAATATCTTGTCTGAATATTAATAATCAAACGTAATTTAAATCATTTGTCTACTTTATTCTTCTAAAGAATATTAAATACTTTGATAATTTTATTTTATTTTTTTAAATCCTATCGATCGAGATATTTATATCTATTTTTCGATATTTAAGAATACAGATGAAACGAAATTCTATCCTTCAACATCTGGTCAAACTAGATTCAATCTATTTCTCGATATTCTGGCACGTCAACCGCGCGTTTAAATTAAAATTCGTGTCACGAAAATTCAGCCGAGCAAGATGTGCTCTCTCCTATCCAGCCACGCGATCAATAAAACACTATTTTTTTTTCTTCTCTTTTTTATATCTATATCGAATCTATACGTACACTTCTCCGTATTGTAACAACGTGTTCATACGAACTCTATGAATAGAAATCGTATTTCAAGTCGCATGTAATATGATTTTTATGATTCGCTGTAATTGACATATTATTCGAAGTCAACGAACATCGTTAGAAATTGATTGAAACCGATTGTCCTTCATTCTAGAAAATCTTTCGTATATTTTGCGAAATTTTGCCGATGCAGCATGATTTGTGGATCGAGTATAGATCCTATCCGACACGATTCATGCAAATATCCTTATATC